CCGGCTCACTTTAATGCTGCGTTTCCATTACAGTTTAGGAACTGGGGTAGTTACCATAGTAACGCAGTGTAGGCGGGGCGATCAGCTTTTTGGCGGGCGGAGCGACGCTGCATACAACTGCCGTGATGTCATCTTCAATGCGACACAACTCACAAAACACACAACAACAATGGAGGATGTGGAAGCCATCGTGTCCTTGCTTCTTGGTATGTGGTTTTTTATCACAGCAAGAAGGAAAACTTTGTTTCGGAAAAGGCTGCTTATAGCAAGACGTAATACAGAAGAAGCTGAGGGGAGACTTATGGCAATCGTACAACGCGGCAGAGACTACTCCAGGACGACTCAACGACAACGCTACTCGGTAAGCTAACGTTCGCTAACTAGCAATGTGTTTCACGCTCACTATACGACCAAAGTGTTTCACGCTCATTATATGACAAAAGTGTTTCAAGTATTTAATTAATTGTAGCTACCACTTTTACGTATTAAAATATGTATGCTTTTGTTTGTGTATTTCAGAAGTTAGGTTGCCACCGCAGACCATGTGTTTGGATGCTTGACCGAGCAACCGAGTGGTGGGGTGTGATTGTTCCATCTTTCACACACACTCAGTGGGTGTACAAAAATGCTGCAAGCGTCCCTTAATATATGCGACACTAGGGATTAAGTCGCGCGAGAATTGTGACGATTCTCTCTGACCAATCAGCAGTCGTCACTAGTTTAGCATATTCCGCCCGGTTGTTGGCCCCGCTTGTTGGCCTCGATAGAACCACGATTTAGTCGGGCCAGAAAAAGGGTGAAAAAGTAGCCTCGGGCCAAAACTAGGCCAAGTGGAAACGCAACCAAAAACGGGCCCCGCACGGCTCGGCGCGCTTAAAGCGAGCTACCCGCTGCAGTGGAAACGCGCCATTAGAAATGTTCAGCCTACCGTCACCGTCCTGTTTCCGATGGAGAAGATGCAAAGCGATTGAATGTTACAATGAGGTGAATTAACAGTCCTTAGCATCCGTTTCAGGCGGTCGTTGAAATCCACGGAGCTTGTCCCGGGCCCGAGAGCCGGGCTCTCTGTCTCTGCGCCGTGTGTTTTTCGCCCTTTCCCAGCCGGAGCTCAGCCGCCTCACTCCTCTCGGTCTGCCTTCAGGTGTCGGTGGAATCCGGAATCCCTTTGCTCGTAAATCCTCGGCGGCCTGGTCCGCACTCTCATATGTGACTGTCCCCGAGTCCAAAAAACGACGCCATTTCTCCTAGCTTAGCCTTAGCCTCGTGGCCGCAGCTTGCATCTTCCACGTCCGTGTCCTTCTCGTTGCTTCTCAACCTGTTAAGCCCCCATTCAAAATCACAACATCTGTAAGAAACTGCGTCTGAGGGCTTCTTAACATTTAAAAACCTATTAATGTGTCATACCCACTTAACGGGAAGAAACTCAGCTATCAGACAATATTAACCATTTTTAGCAAAACAAAACATAAGGGTAATAACAAAGGCTCTGAATTAGCCCTGAGCGAAAAAATGCTAACACACTTAGCACAGAGCTCACATTAAAATACCCTTATTACTTATCGTATCTGCACAAATAAGGTATCGATTAGCAAACTGAGTTTCCACAGATTATACAGGTATTAGTATCATTACTGACCGATCCGAACTCGTGACATGAGAAGCTAGCAAATACATCACAACACGTACCATTAGGTAGCCAACACGGCAATGTGTCTTACCTTTGTTGTTTTCTGATCAAAAGTGGTCTTCAATGGCATTAAAATTATAAAAACGCTACTGAATGTTAATCCAATGTGTCTGTGTCACTTTGACATTTCTGATAATCCATCAGCAATAAACCATCGTCATCGTCAGTGTCTGCCCCGCCCCTGATTGTTTCCACCTGTGCCCACTTACCTCATGTACATATTGTCCTGTCTCCCCTTGTTAGTTGTCGGTTCGTCTTGTTCGTTGTCCCAAGAAGCCAGATCCAAGCCATCGCTTAAGAGATTCAGTGTTGTGCCTTTTTCCCTCCATGTGAGCGCTTTACTTTAGTCATTTTGTTATTTCCTCTAAAAGAGTGATTTTGTTTTTTGCAAGTAAAGATTATTTGTTCTTCAAACCTTTTTTGTCTCTGGGTTGTGCATTTGAGTCCTAAACTATTGAGTCAAGGTTCCTAACACCTATATAATGTAATAAGTGAACAAATAAATGTGTATAGATGTTGTCTGTCTGTGTTTTACCACTGCTATTACTCTGCTTTCACAGGCTGCTTACAGTATGTTTCATTTACACTGTACAAGGCATAACACATACACCTTTGTGCCGGGAGTTACTAATGTGATTATTCTTTCCATTATATCTATTTAAAGTGGCAGAAACATTATTGAATGTGTTTATAATTAAGAACTAACAGCTTAGTTTGGTGTGGATTTGACACAAACACCTGTTATCCAAGCAGACACATTTTGAAGAAGCTTGTTTAGCCTCATCCAGGATTTTCCACTTGGGTTGGGACAACTCTTGGGCTTTCCCAATTCTTACCTGTTAAACCCCAAGGTTTTTTTTCCACGACACTGTGTCTCAGGCAGGGACGTGCACAGACCTTTGGAGGGGCTATTGCTCTAAACTGGAAAAAGGGCCTCCCCCCCTTGTTTTTAATGTAAAAGGTTCATGATATAAAATGGGGTGGCTGTGGCTGAGTGGGTAGTGTGCTGGACTTCGAATCTGGGGATAGGAAGTTCAAGTCTGCTGCAGGTCTCCCTTGAAAAAGAGATCGTTGATCTCAATGGGATTTTCACCTGGTTAAATAAAGGCTACAATACAATACAAAAGTCCCACTGCAGTCAGCATGTCGTTGTGTCCCTGAGACACTTCACCCCAAATTGCTCCTGTGGAGATTGTCCACAGTACTGAATGTATGTAAGTCACCTTGGATAAAAGTGTCTAACAAATGACATGTAATGTAATGTAATAAAAGCACAACACTGTCATTGCAAGTGACACTCAGTTGACTTTCATGTCCAACTGCTAAATTCATTATTCAGGCAAATTTTTTGCGGTCCACATCTCATTAAAATATCTAATGTTAGTAACTATTAAAGAAAAATGGGGACAATTCTGTTTTAATGTAGTTTGACCATTGTAACTGCTCGGCAGACATGGCTGCTGAAAAAATAGGGCTTCTAACTAATTAGGCCTACCGTAAATAAAATCACAAATTCATTAAACCAGTTCAATACGCATCATTCTTATAATTCTATATGAACGGTAAGGTATTTCATTACTTATTTATTTAGAATTCCATAACTTAATAACAGAGATGGTCAAACTAAAGTAGAGGCATGGCAGAAATCCTACAATGAAGCGGGACAGTGAAGTGTTCTCTGAGAGAGGGCAATCAAGAAAAGAGAGTGAGCGGCCCCGTTGAGGGAGTTCACGGAGTAGAGTGAAAGACACAGAAAGACAGAAACACAATAACAAGTATATTTAGGTGTTTTTTTTGTAAATAACCAACGGTGTCAAGAGGAAGTAAAGTCCCCTATACTCTAACGCCATTTGGTGTGATCACCATAGCCATATGAGGCCGGACTCGCAGGGCTTGCCTTTGCTTCCAGCTGTCAGATTGTAAACAAAGTCACGTGACTTGAGGCAGATGAAAGCGCCGACAAGTTGTGTTTTTATCGCAGTGAGACGCTATAATACTAATTGTGGGCTTATCATGTTGATTCGGTCACAAAAGAAAACAAAAAAAACTCTCGCTCTCTCCAGAGGGACAGGTCGGACAAAAATGGCAAACGGGCTGTTGCCCGGGCAACATTAGCCCGTACCTGTGCACATCACTGGTCTCAGGGGATCTTAATATTTAAGAACCTATTAATGTGTTATACCAGATTAACGGAAATAATCTCAGCTAACTGACGATACAAACCATTTTTACCAAAACAAAACACAAGTCTCATAAGAAGCATCTAAATGACCCCTTAGCGAAAAATGCTAACGGACATTGGCACAGAACTCAAGATAAAGTACCCTTATTACTTATCGTAGCTGCACTTACAAGATATCCGATTAAAGCTGAGGTTCCACAGATTATTTAGATATATAGTACCATCACTGAGTGATCCGAACTCGCGACAGGGGAAGCAAACACAGACATCACAACACGTATCTTTACGGAGCTTCTAGGGAGATCGTCTCACCGTATCTGTCAATCTGATCAAAAGACGTGTTCAATGGCATTAAAACGAGAAAAAACGCGGCTGAATCGGTTAATCCATAGGTTTTTAACGTCTCTGTATAAAAAATGTATTTCATTTATAATCCATAATTCCATTTTTATGTAAAAATCGCAGAGCAAAAGTTAGCTGCTAATGGTAGCCACCAGAGTGGCTGCTGCTTCCGGTCTTGGCGATGCAGCAGTCTCACACACACACACACACATTACCAAATAAGGACTATGTGGGTGTTCCCCTCGATTCCATTGGCTCTGACTGTCAGAAAGAGATGTCACATGTCAAAATCCAGCAAGGGGGGCCAGAGATATGGAAAATCCACCCAAATGGCCCCAGAAGAGGGTTTTTTGTGCTAAATCTGTCTAAAAAGGTCAAATATAACTTGTTTTGCATCAATCTTGATACAGGGTGCTTATTATATGTTGTACTTTGGATACCTAAAGCTTTTAGTCTACTAACCCATCATCCAAGGTTAGTTTTCAATATAAGTACAACATATTTTTTGGACGGACACTATAATTTACAGTTTTTTACCATGTTCAATCTGACTTTTCTTTAAAATAAAAAACATCTATATTGATTCTGACTTTTCTACATCCAACTAACAGATTTATCATTACTTTGAGATAAAAGATTATTAATGTAACCCTTTTAGAAGGGAAGATATGGTCATTTGTTCTGGGAATGTCATTTTCGAGCCTGAAACCTGATAAACAGGCTCGGGGTTTAACAGGTTAAGAAAATAACTATCCATAATAACCTCTCCCCCACTTTGTATCTCATCAGTTATTTCAAGAGGAAGATTGTCACCAGCCTGACCATGCTCCAGCTCCCAGAGGCCCTGTCCCAGGCAGGCCTTCAGTTTTCTGGGGCCACTGAGGAGGACTTTGATGAGATCATGGGCATGAGCCAGGGTATACATGGAGGTCTCGACCACCTGCCCACGATATACATGGACTGGCTGCAGGAGACCAACCGCACCGTCATATTGGCCCGCAAACAGGGAAAAGTAGTAAGTTCAATCAAAATATTTGATTATGAGTAATATAATAACTTATGGATGCATAAAAAGCTGAATTCTTGAATTATAGAAGTCGGGAAATAGTTTTCTTATCCAAGACATTTCTCTGTGCAAAAGTAAGAGTTTCATGACTTAAAATTAAAAAGTAAAAAATTAAATTTGTCATAATTAAGTCCATTCCTCGTTGGTTTCATTTCTCAGCAACTGCGTTTAATAAGCAGAAACCTACTGGGAATTTTCCATTCTCCAACTATCCAAAAACACAGAATTCAAATGAAACAATTGTGAATTACTGGGAGTCACCTTTGTCCTACTTTTTTTTACTAACTGCCATTCTAACAGGTCCCAGACCAGTCTCTCTAAAGTAGAGCCCACCAATGTGATTAACCTTAACATTCAAATTTGCATTCAACAAATCAGTTAATTTTTGCTCATTTCCGCATTCGTATACTTCAACTAGTCCTACATGAATTCGGAGGACCTTTCCTCACAACTGGCAGGGTACTAACTTTCAACAAACATCAATTAATTCCGCTCATTCAACAAAGAAATTCACTCCGCATTCAACAAAGAAATTTGAGAGATATTTATCAAGTTTGTGTAAAAAGGTCATGACCTCTAGTGTGCAGGACTGAAAAATATTATTCTCGGCTATGGCACAAACACCTTTTTGGGGCCTCAGTCTATTTCTCTTTAAGTCAGGAGCCCCCCTCCCTGGGTACTGCTGTGAGGCGAGAGGGAAGAAACTGTCTCTCCTCTCTTATCAGTGACACCCATAAACCATAATAGGCCTTACACACTCAACTTAACAAACCGCTTGTTTTTTGTTTATACTCTAAATATAGAAAACCATAAAATATGAAACATTTTCATTGTGGGTTATACAAGAATATATTTGATTATATTTGATTATAATTAACTTTCGTTTTAAGTATTCAACCTAATATGGAGATCTCAACAGTAGTAATTGGGGGTTACTTGGGTTAGGAACTGTTTATATAATTACTGAATTTTAAATCGTAATCTGCACTGATGCTGACATGTTGTATGGATACAAACTTTGGTGGAACTTTGAATTGGTAGTAGTTACTTTAAGTTACACTACACCAGCTTTGAGTATTTAGGAAGACTTCTTTCTGTGTTTACGTCTTATCCGACTCAATGACATTGAAAGTGTTTTAGATAACTTTCAGTGACAGAAGGCAAAGTATCCAAAGGGTTCTTCCCAACATACCCTGGGTCATCCCAAGGTATTTTCAGGGCAAATGGATAATCTCTTTAGCTATTCTGAGTTTTTGGGGTTCTCCTTCCAGTTGGACATTCCCAGAACACAGGGACAAAAGAAGGTTTCCAGAATAAGATAATAATAAGATGCCTGAAGGATCTCAACTGGCTCCTTCTAGCTCCAAAGATCAGTGGATCCAAGCTAAACTTCGTTAACTGTTTACAGATGTTCTGGTTCTGGTGGTACATTAATTAGTCTGCCGCCATTGCCACACAGAAATTGGCTCATGTTTCATGCTCTGATTAGCATGTTCTTGTTTCCCAAATCTCTTAGACATTTAAGATCATTCATCATTTGTCAGTTATGCTGCTCTAGACCAGCTTCAGAAATGGTTCTAAAAAGGACATGTCAATGATTTTCTTCGCATTTTTTCTTTTTCTACTCAACAGATTGCTCTGGAGTCAGTGTTTGTGATTGACGATGGGGAGACTATGCTGGTGCAAGCACTACGTGTCGCCCCTCAGGAAAGAGGTAAGGGTGTGGCTGGGGTTCTGCAGCGCTTTTGCTCTGATCTGGTCAAATCCAAGTTCCCTGATGTCAAAGTAACCCGCTTGACCCGTGAAGATCAGCTCGGACCCAAGGATTTCCAGAAATATCGCCTCATAACCAAGCAGGTACAAGCAACAAGCCTTTCTATGTATCGGCTTGTGCTTTATAAGCCTCCATTTAAGTCCGTTGGTTACACTATTGATGTAAATATGTACGATATAGTCCATGGTCAGCTCATGCATTGGCTTTCTTCTCTATAGGGTATTCTCCTGGTGCGCTTCAGGGCTGAAGAACTCAAGCTGCGTCTGTCCGATCTTGGTCTTGGAGATATTCAATCTTCTTTGTCCACCTCCTTCAAAACTCCTCCAGTGCGTCTCGACAATACAGCCGTCCGCCGGCTGTATCTGACCTCTGATCGGATGCTTGGGGTCCTTCCTAACGCCACCATCATTCAAGATTGGCAGCCATTCAAGCTTCTACCCAGTAACATGGCTATTCTACTGAAGAAGGACATCGACTGGATGGTCGATGATGTGGCCAACCCTACTGTGACCAGCCTCTGTACATTCCCTTTCAGGGTGCCCATTGGAGATGACTGGTAACTCTTCTTTCTTTCTTATTATAATAATTTCAATTCAGGGACAACTAGTGTGCAGAAAAATATTCAATAATAGTGTCTTACACTAATACCATTGGTGCCAGATTTGATACTTTGTTATATACATAGTGGTTTTAACACTCCTGTCATGTTCAGATCAAATTGGAATGATTACTTATTTTATCAATCATAAATATTATGTTTTATATTTGATTGCGTCAAGACCTTATGATATCCTCCACAGTCGGCATTTGAACATATAAAGTTGCTGATCACCACTTTCTTTGAATTTTGAGTGGTTTAGTTCACTTTGTAACAATGATGGTGTTCCAAGTCAAAAATGACCACCATAGGAAATGAATGGGTAACTCTAGAGCAGTGGTTCTGAAATGGGGGTACGCGGACTCCTAGGGGTACGTTGGAGTACTGCAGGGGGTACGTAAGATTTATTTTATGTTAATGAAACAAAACAACCTAATTAATGCATTTAAACAAACTGCTAATAGTAGATTAACTACTTTATTCAAAGGTTTACAGAAACTCTGGATAATAAAATGGGAAAAATAAACGGGGTGCTCTCTTTTCCTCTCCCTCTCCTGACAGCCCGTCAGTCTCGTGCAGCTCGCTGAACCTGTAATAAGTGACCCGACATTAAAGAATAAATATATGTATAACTAGTTTAGCTAGTTCCAGAGTAGATAAACTAGCTAAGTGTGTTAGGTCTAACTCTTAGTGTATTTTGCTCGGCTCAACGATCCGTCACAGCGGCGGAGCTGTGATCATGCAGAGCTGCGTGTTCTCCGTCAGCAGCAGCTGATCTGATCTCTCTCTCGCGTCCGGTTAGACTTCACTCGCGTTTATGTCCAAATCTATCAGATCTAGCTAGTTCTAGTTAATGATATGACTGCCTGCTTATCAAAGGACCTAAACAATAAGCAAAGTATAGCGCAGCATTATGCATATGTTTATATGAGGGGTCAAAATCCCATGCTCATAAAATGCTCATATTTTTTTTTCTCTTCATTCCCCACGCCCCAAAATAAATAAATATACCAATTTTAGGGAAAGTAACGAAGTTTGAGCAGTGTGGGTTTTATATTAACAGAGTTACACATATCTCAAAACACGAAGAGTAATAACTGCAGGTTGCCTCCCTGTCAGCATGACAAGGATCCTCAGTGAAGCTCAAGCCCATGTTTCACTACATTGTACAACTTATTAAAAAGATCAGTTCAATGCAACTAATGTCGTCTTAGTGTTATTGCATGATGTTAAAATTGGTTTGCCATGAATTTAGTGATGGATTGTAAACATTTGAAATGTAGCATTTAAGAGTTTCTGAGTTATAATGTTGTTGTTTTAATAAATCAGACACTGATGGTGCAGTGCTGTGCTGTACTTCTTTATATAGGCTTTTTTTCCTTAACAAATTGTTTTTGCGCTGATCAGGGGGTACTTGGCTGAAATGTTTTTTCAAAGGGGGTACATGATTGAAAAAAGTTTGAAAACCACTGCTCTAAAGTCTGTTCATCCATCAGATAGTACACACCCATTCATGTAAACCAGAAGTCTGAGACATTGTTTGCATCTTAACAGGGTGTTAAATAAAATGTGATGATTTCTAATGGTTTTTGTTTCAATGTAAGATAAGTTAAAATTACAGAACGGTCACATTTTAGTAAGGGGGGAGAAACAGACACGACAGGAGGGTTAAGATTTCCAGAAGTTATTGTAGAACAAGAAAGTATTGTCACTCAATTGACCAGTACACTTATTTTCAAGCAGGTATTACCTGAACATTGACATGTTCGGCAAGGAGCTGGATCCTGTCCGACAGCAGTTCCTGTGCCACCTGCAGCGCCACACTGCCACTCTGAAGGGTCACGTGATGTGCCAGGTGTTCCTGGACCCCCCACTCTGGAAGCCCATGGTGGAATTCTGCCTCAACATCTTGAACGTGGAGCTGGTGAAGGAGTACACCGAGCAATACGTGCTGGAGTCAGACGTCATCTAGCTACGGGAGGTGGATGGAGAGGAGTAGGAGACGTTGGAGCCAGAAAGGAATAAGGACAAGGGGCAAAACAACAAGGAGTGCACACAACTCAATTGGTGGTACAAATGGTACAAATGTTTGTCAGCAGCTTGAAAATCAAAACTGCTCCACCTGTTAAAAATCTGCTCAAAGATTGTTGTTCAACCCTGTCAGAGACTCTATGACCTATCATAACAACCTAGTGAGGCTGTCCAACAACATAATCTCTGACCCAAACCATGCTCTGAACAGTGAATATGAACTGCTACCATCTAATGGAGATACAGGGTCCCACCATTCAATAAGGTCAGACTGAAGCACTCCTTTGTGCATCAGTCAATCCTCTCAGTAAACACAGAGCTGATCCCAGATCAGATGCACGCTGAAGGCTCTCTTTCGTCTCACTGATTGTACTGTTATGTTAAATGTTTGTGTTTCATGTATTGTGTCTGGATATTTGTCTGTTGATGTTGGACATGGAGCTGCTATCTGACAAATAAAGTAATATCGTATCAATTACACAAAAACACAACCCTTTGTAATGAGGAGGTAGAAACCAGGCAAACAAAATGTAGGTTCTACAAAACAAAACAAGTTTTTGCTGGTAGCGCAGTTTCATTTAACCAGTTAAACCCCACGGGGGCAAAACGCAACATCTTGCAAGAAACAGCGTCTGAGGGCTTCTTAACATTTAATAAACTACAAACAGACATCAGACAATGTAGCATTACGGAGCAAACACAGGAGAAATTCTTACCTTAGCTGTTGTTCTGATCAAAAGTTGTGTTCAATGGCATTAAAACGATAAACACGCTGCTGAAGGTTAATCCAATGTGTCTGTGTCACTTTGAATGATTACTGATAATCCATCTTCATATTTATGTTAATAACCGAGATTTCATATTAGCTACGAGAGTGTACAGCTTCCGGTGTTGGGCATTCTGGCTACGCAGCACTCATTCACCAATGGGTAATGTTTAGATGGATTTAAGGAACTTCCTCTCGATTATATTGGCTATAACGGTTAGAAAGAGGTGTCAATCATCAACATCGACCAAGGGGGGGCCAGAGATATGGAAAATCCACCCAAATGACCCCAGAAGTGTTTTTGTTTTTTTCTAAATCTCTCTAAAAAGGTCAAATTTCACTTGTTTTGCATCAATCTTGATACAGGGTACTTATTATATGTTGTAGTTTGGATTCCTAAAGCTTTTAGTCTACCTTATCATCATTCAAGGGTAGTTTTCACTATAAGTCATGTTTTTTTTTGGGACGGACACTATAATTTAAAATATTTTACTATGTTCAATCTAAATTTACTTTCAAATACAAAAATGACATCCAACTCACAGGTGTATCATTGCTTTGAGAAAAAAGATTATTAATTTACCCCTTTTAGAAGTTAAGTTATAGTCAATTGTTCTGGGAATGTCATTTTCGAGCCTGAGGCCTGAAAAACAGGCTTGGGGCTCACCTGGTTAACGATACCTAAATATATACAGAGGGTGGACATGAAATAATGTTACGTAATCAGATACAATACGTCCGTTAGAAATACATTTGTAAAGACTATGATATTCAATTGCTGTTTGAGGTGTTGATACAACCTCATATTTGTATGTATTTTTAGAGGTTATCAAGGTTCCAAACAGAGTTGGGTGTAACGCGTTACTGTAATAATATTACATTTGTTGGTAACGGACTAATGTAACGCGTTACTTCTATACATTCAGTAATCACACTACAGTTACTAACATTGCGCGAAACGTGTTATTTTATAGATTCAGTAATTAGGGCTGCACGATATTGGAAAAAACTGACATTGCGATTTTTTCCCTCCTGCGATATGAAAACATACAGGAATTGAAGAAAAGACCGTTTTTGTTCCCGCAAACCATCCTTTCTTGAACTTTAATGCTATACAATTGGTATTTTTTAACTATATTCAGTGGCGGTTCTAGACCAATTTGACTGGGGGGGGGGGGGGGGGGGGGGGAGCACTGGGGGGCCAGTTATTTTCTGAGGGGGGCACAATAAATGCAGGACGAAAAAGAGAACAAGACAGTTTGAAGTAATTGCGCATAAGAAAACAATGCAATACAGTTATTGGTATTTGTTTCAGTACACTTATTTATTGCAGATAGATCTTATAGTTATTACTGTTAGCTTCAGCTTAAGTTAGAGTGCAATGTTTGCACTAACGCCATATTTATATAAAAATAAAGGCAATGAACAGTTACATCTCTACTTTACATAAGGGTGTCTGCACAATCTCACATTACAGCAACAAAATCCTGCGGTTTTTGGCAACAACAAAAAAAGTTCATTGTTAGGGGCCACAGGGGGGTCAGAGGTCAGTGTTAGGGGGGCACTGGCCCTGCCCCTGAATTATCACTATAGGTATTCATTCCATCCAAATACAACTGTTGTGAAAAAATAAATAAAATAAAAAAATAAAACATAGGCCTACTCTGTTATCCTCTTAGCCCCACGGACCCGAAATCGCATCATTTGCAGGAAACAACGTCTAAGGAACCTTAATATTTAATAAACTATGAATATTTGATATCTATATAACGGGAAAAAACTCATTTAACTGATCTTTTTCATTTATTTTTTCAAAAAAAACACACAATGCTAACAGTGAGCCTCTGAATTAGCCCCGAGCGAAAAATGCTAACCTATTACTGCACCGAAAATCACTCCTAGTTCCCTTATTACTTATCCTAGCTGCACATCCAACACATCGTTTATGATCGCAAGGAGACACAGAATCTAACGGTGCCCACCTCAACACTGAAAGATACAAACTCGCGAGGTTATCAACAAAAACGTACATCAAAACAAGTGCTAAGTACTAAGTACTAACATGCGCTAGGCTAACAATGACTTACCTTCCTCGTTGTCTGGTCTAAACTGGTCTTCAATGGCATTAGAACGATAAAAACGATGATGTAGTTAATCCATAGGTTAATATCCAATAGGGCTGTGTCCCCTTTGAAATGTTCTGATAATCTATAAGCAATAAAACTGCAATTCCGTTATCTGCTGTCCGCTCTGTGCTCCGTGCGCTCTGGGTCCTGCTGCATTTCCTGCTTCGTTACGTTGTAAACAATAAATGAAGTCGGCTGCGTAATGTTGTTACGCTGGCTGGCATTCTTTATACTTTACGCAGGACCATATCTCTGGAACCCATTGGTCGATTCGTGTGATTTACACCTTTTTCTTAACCATTACATCCAATAGAATCGATGGGCAGTTCCCAAATCCACGTAAACATTACCATAGCGGACGTAATAGAGAAGCAAACGAAGCATATCTGAAAGTGCAAGCCTGGACGGCAAAACTTTATACTGTAGTGCCAGGAAATGGGAGTCGGAGGCGGTGTATTAAGAACAGAGTTCCAATCTTTATTAGCCATTAATAACAGAGAGGTTATCACATCAACTGCTCTGCTTGACGAGCTAGCAGGAATGGAAGCTAACGCTACCGGTGTTCCCACTAAAGGGTCCGTGTGGCAACACAATACGAGAGGTGAATTATGTCCAATAACGTGTCACCACACAAGCCCCCCCAGAATTCACATGTAAACAAAATCCGTATGGCGGGGAGGAACAATCCGCCTGCCCCCACGAGACCTGCGCACAGGAGTCAGTACAGCGACCTCTGCCCGTGCGGCCCCTGACAGAGGAAGGACCGGAACAACAGGTCCACACTCCCTGACAGGAATCAAAGCCGGGGGTCGGCCCCGTCTCGGCGGCCGAGCCAGCACCACCGGCCGGTCCACGTCCCAAGTGAGCAGCCTTCACCCGGTCAACCGAGACGTGCTCAGCCTTACCGCCCATGTCGACCACCAGGTGTTTTTCACCGTGTTCCAAAACCCGGAAAGGTCCATCGTAAGGGGGCTGCAGGGGGCCTCTGTGTGCGTCGTGACGAATGAAGACGTGCCCAACCGAGCGTAGCTCCGCGGGAACTTGAGACCCTGGCGCACCGTGCTGAGTAGTCGGGACTGGAGCGAAAGCCTCCGCCGCGTCACGCAGAAAAACTCGCTGGGCCGTGGCAGACCAGGGAGCTGATGCATTTGGGAGGAAATCCCCCGGAACTCTCAGCGGCTGACCGTAGACCATCTCCGCTGTAGAACACTGTAGATCTTCCTTAGGTGCGGTTCTCAGGCCCAGCATCACCCAGGGCAGCTTGTCGACCCAGTTACCGTCCATTGACATCAGGACGGCAGATAGCTTGCACATCTTCCGGCGCAAACTGAAAACTCATCTCTTTCGACTCCACTTCGAGCGTTAGAACTATTAACGAAGCACTTTTATACTAATAAAGGACTGGCTTACCTAAAGCCAGTTGAGTAGCACTTGAAATGTTTGGCTCTATGAAACCTGATGTACTTATATGATTCTGTTTTCTTCAAGGTTGTGTCTTCCTGGTCGAATGTACTTATTGTAAGTCGCTTTGGATAAAAGCGTCAGCTAAATGCAATGTAATGTAATGTAAGGCCGGCCTTGAGGGCCGCCTTCATGGAGCGATGAAAGCGCTCGCAGAGGCCGTTAGCCTGAGAGTGGTAAGCGGTAGTCCTGTGCAGCTTAACCCCCAAACCGCCTGCCACAGTGTTCCAGAGCTCGGACGTGAACTGAGAGCCCCTGTCTGAAGAAATGTCTGACGGGGTGCCAAAACGACACACCCACGTTGCAATGAAGGCCCGGGCAACGTCTGCGGCTGATGTCGAAACGAGCGGAACCGCCTCCGGCCAACGGGTCGTTCTGTCCACCATGGTGAGGAGGTAGGAAAACCCCTGAGAGGAAGGCAACGGACCAACCAGGTCAATGTTGACGTGATCAAACCTCCTCTCAGGCACCAGGAAACGTTCCAACTGGGCCTTCGTGTGGCGGTGCACCTTAGCGCGTTGACAAGCCACGCACTCCCTGGCCCAAGTCCTCACGTCTCTTTTCAGTCCTTGCCAAACGAACTTCGCCGCCACCAAACGTACTGAAGGTTTAACGCCGGATTTGTGACAGGCTGTGCACAGCCTCGAACACAGGACGCCTCCAGCTGGCAGGGACGACAGGCCGCGCCAGGCCCGTAGAGACGTCACACAGGAGAGTAATGCCCGCGTCGCCGAACACCACGTCCTCCAAGCGCAGCCCCGCGCTCTCCACCTTCAGAGCCAGGACGCCGGGATCTGTGACCTGGTCCGCCGCCATGCGAGTATAGTCCAGGCCCAACTGGACGGCACCGATGACGACCCTGGAGAGGCAATCAGCAACCAGGTTCGACTTGCCAGCCACATGCTTAATGTCCGTAGTGAACTCCGATATGTAGGACAGCTGCCGCTGCTGACGTGCCGACCAAGGCTCCGCCACTTTTGACATGGCGAAGGTGAGCGGCTTGTGGTCGACAAACGCCGTAAATTCACGGCCTTCCAGCATGAAACGGAAGTGCCGCACGGCCAAATAAAGTCAGAGGAGCTCCCGGTCAAAGGCGCTGTATTTGCGTTCTCTAGGCGTCAGCTGGCGGCTGAAAAAGCTTGTGCACTGCGCCGACCGCGTAGTCCGACGCGTCCGTGGTGATGGAGATGGGAACCGTAGATGATGGGTGTGCCAGCAAAGCCGCCTGAGCCAACGCGGTCTTGACCTCAGCAAAAGGGCTCGGAGGTGGGACAGGTGCTCCTGCACTGAAACGCTGGCGACGAGTATGTCGTTGAGGTAGACAACACAAACGGCAGGTCCCGCAGCACCGAATCCATCAGGCGCTGGAACGTCTGAGCGGCATTCTTGAGTCCAAAAGGCATCCGCAGGAACTCAAAAAGTCCAAAAGGCGT